AGAGAGAGAGAGAGAGAGAGAGAGAGAGAGATTAGTTGAATGTTAAACAGCTGAATTTTAGAAACTCAAAACTGATTTTTAGTCCCCCCCCATCTTTTAGCATGTTTTCATGTTGGGAAATATTCTGAAACAGAAAACACAGAAGGAATCAAACTTTTTTTTTTAACTTAAAAAAACCTGTTAAAATTGGACTCACAGTAAAATAAGTGGAAACAGTAGCAAGTGACAGACTGGTGGAAAGTTTCCTTTTCCAGTCTGCATGCCAGCGAGAGCACCGGAATGCTGCTGGGCAAATGTAAAAACCAGTCACCATGGATTTTTAACTTTCCTACAACTTTTTTAAAAATGGCCTATTTCATATTCATTACTGTTGAATGCCAGTATGGGTATTCCCTGTTTCTCCAAGCTTACGCACATAGGCAAAATCTGATTTCAAAACTGGGCGGCTTCTTTTGGGGTTGCGTGGAAAACAGTCCTCCTAATGATGTTTTGAAAGGAGTGTGGAAATGCTTAAAGCTAGTATTGGTTTGGTTTCACGTGTTCCTTTGGGGACTGCTCCTGGCCCCCTTAAGTCCCAGGGATCAGACCCTGGGACTTCACCTCCAACTCTCATTGGGGTCCTTGATTTGCTATAATGCTTTAGAAGAGAGATGGAGGTTCTTGATACAATGTCTGAAATCCAAGCACAGAATTGAAAGTCAAATCTGATTTCAATTCTAATAAATGGAAAAACGAATGAATTTGGGGTAGTCTGGAAAATAAGGCAGGAAGGCTGACCTACCAGCAAGGAAATGGAAATTGAAGAGTAGTATTCTAATTCATTACTGCAGCCTGTTGAAGCCCTGCATGATCAGCTCAGCCTAGGGGTAGCTATTTGGGGACACACAAACCTTGAGTGTTTCAGAGTGTAGACCACATTCTGGCCGAGCACCCAGGCTCGCTGAACTGCAGGTGTAACACAGGAGACCAATGTCTTATCCATTAGGCTACTGGGGCTGCTGTAGGGAACTCAGGTCAACAATTTCTGACATTGCCAGTGAAGTGGAAGACCCAATACTATTATGGAGTACTGGACTCTTTTAGAATATTTTGCTGAGTTAACACACCTATAATACTCAAATAATGGAACTTAACAAAAAAAGGGGGTACAAATGAATGTCCATTTTGTATCTGTGTATTCAAAATGATTAGGATAGATATATAGTTACATTCTCTTAATGAATAGAAGGATTTGTTCTAATAGTGTTTGTAAATAGGATATCATATTCGCATCTTGTACAGCAATTAACCTCTAGGAAGAATATATGAAATAGGATATCATGTCTGCATCTTGTACAGCAATTAAACACTAGGAAGAATGTATGCAATGTGTTAATTATTGAAACTGTCCTACCAATTTGGTTTGAAACTGTGTCATTGCTATTTGTTTCTCAATAAAATTATGGGGGAAAAAAAAGAGAGGAAAAAACAAACCACAGGTGTCAATGGGGCCCCATGCCGGAAGAGCAGTGTTAGAGGTCCTCACACCAAGGACAAATTATGTAATCTTTTAAGACTCTATTTCCTTTCCTATAAAATGTCTACAAAATACCAACCTCCTGGATACACCCCCTCTCCTGGAGTTTAAAAGGAGCTAAAACTTGGAAAGCACTAAGCACAGTGGATAGGACAGACTGGGTGCTTTCTTAGTGTCATCTCTTACTAAAGCTTATCATTTGTCTGTCCTCATAAGTTTGGCTGACACTGACTGGGCTTCTTCTGTCTAGTTTCCTGCAAAGTCCTCCTGTGCTTAGCACAAAGGTAGGCAAACAGCTAGTGTTAAGTAAATAACTGATGACCTCCAGGATCTACCCTGTGAAGGACAGGCCAGAAGCAAATTAAAAGCCAGGGATCTACAGTGTCGATGTGTGTAGTTTACATGAATCAGTTAAGCATAGTCAGCAAAAACAGAATGACACTGTGCATGTCAAATCGGGGCAGGTGTTTCGCTTGTCTCTTTACTGAGAAGACGTGGGACTAAAATGAGATGAGCTGGGAAAAACACAGGTCTCATGGCAGTGACTTGGTGACTGTTATGGTTGATACACTGTGTTAACTTGAGAAGTGTAGAAGGTTAAGTACATCAGCAGGGGGTCAGGGTCCTTCCTTTGTAAACATCCTCGGTCTGTGTAAGAGGAAGGATCCAGATGATGTGGGTGGGTAGCCTGCATGGAATATAAGGGAGTAAAGGAGGCTTTCTTGCCCCCTGCCCTTTTGTTCTTGCTTTTGCCTTGACCTTGAGCCAGGACACCCTGCCTTGGAGCTAGCTAATTATGGACTGAAACCTCCATAAACTGTGAGGTCAATAAACTCTTCCTTCCTTCATTCATTTGGGGTGTCCAGTGTTTTGTCTGAGCAGTGAGAGAAGAATAACTAAGAAAGTGACTCAGGTCACTAAGACAGTCACCTAGGTTGACCAAGGCTCCATCTTAAAACATGCTTTGTGATTGCCAGTGTTGAGTGGTATATGGGATTAAATCATATCCTAACCCCTAGCACCTATAATCCCTGGTACCTTATTTGGAAGTAGGGTTTTTCTAGATGTAATCAACTGAAGATGCGGTTGTATTGGTTTTTGTGTGTCAGATGACTAAATCAAGTGATGGTGTCTTTGTAAGAGAAAGAAGTGGGAGACTTGAGTACAGAGGCACAGCAGAGATCCACACTCAGAGGAGTTCCATGTGCAGATGGAGATGGAGACGGAGACTGGAGTGTTCCATCTACAAATCAAAGAATACCAAGAATGACCCCAGTTCAAGAACCTAGAAGGGCAAGGAAGAATTCCTCCATCGTGCCTACAGAAGGAGCACGGCCTTGTGGGCATCTTGACTTTGAATGTATGACCTCCAAAACCACAAGAGAATGCATTTCAGAGATCCTAAGACACCCTGTTTTTGTAAATTCTTGTGAAACTAAAACAGGTGGTGAGAGCTGGAAGGCTGCCCATCAACTTTAAGCTGCTTCTGCCTGGAATGGATGCCTGTCATTGTTCCTCACATTTTAGGAATGGAAACAAGTTACATGATAGTCTGTCTTAAAGGGGGCACAGGGAAGTCCCCAATTCTTTCTGGTTTCTGAGACAATCAGAAATCTGGTGACCAGCATCCTATTCTACAGGAAAAGGATCATGGTGTTGTAGGCAGCTAAATTAGATAGAAATATTATAGGCAATCAGACAGGCCTAGGCATTCAAGGAGATAGCATGGAGGACAAGACACCTTGCAGCTGTCAGAGAGATGGATGCTCCTGCTGTGGGCCAGACCTAAAGACCATAGATCGAACAAATGCTTACTTCCCTAAAGATAAACATTCGAGATTAATCGTCACCGTGAGGAAGCCAGAAAGAGTCACTAATTCAACTGCTACTGGCTACTGGATGAACTCCTGTTCTAAATTCATGCCTTGTTCACTACGTGACTCACTTCCCCATTCAGTACTGGATTTAATCATTTTTACCTGAGCAATGATTCTTGTAATCTCATTGGTTGACCATAGTTTTG